CCAAATGAAGGACCATAATTTGAATTAAAATAAATAGCATATTATTTAGCATCATACTTCTAAGGTTAAATATGGGTTTATGAAAATATGAAAGATGATAATGTATGATCTCCCACATATTTCCCATATACAAGGAGAGTGTGCTCAAAAGATATGATCACTTTTTGATTTAAAGACCATAAGCAAATTACTTTTTCCATTCACCTTACTCCAATATCATTAATTATTTAACCCATCTCTTGCACCTTAATAGATAAAAATTGAATTTCTGATAATTATACTAGCTTTTTAAACTAAATTTTTTATAATTAGTATGATCCAGTATTAATCTTGAAGTAAATCTGGTTTTATAGTATTTCATAATTATTTCAATTAATAATTTAAGACTATTTAATTATAATTTATCAAACCTTAATTATATTTCTTTTATTTAAGTATCATTATCTTTAATTTTAATGGCATATTTATTATTCTCTTTATTTTTATTAACATTAATTATTATTATTTATTCTTTCTTTAAATTTTCCTTTAGTAATTTCAATTAATTTTTTAATTTATAATTCTAATTATAAATCTATTAGCTTCTTAACTAATTTATTTTCATATTCACTCTAAATTATTTTGTTATACACTATAGAGTTTCTTAATTTATTAAAAAATCTTTTTACTTTCAAAATCCAAATTTTTATAACTCTATTACAAAGTTTCTAGATTATTAGTTAGTTATTCTAATTCACTAAACTTCTAAAAATTAAAAAAATCTTTTTAAAATTTATCTAAATTATCATGAAGTTAACTTCTTCTTTTGTTCTATATTAGCACAAGGGATTGTCACTTGTGTATTATACACAAACAAATCTATATTCTATTTATTTATTCTCAGACTCTATGTCCATCATAATTATTTCTTTTTTATTTTTTGGACAAAGATTGCTTAAACTTAAACCTTTCTTAATATTTGTATATATTTATTTAATTATTTTAAGTTAACGGAGACATTATTTCAATTTTATTATCTTTGTTTAAATTATTTATATTTTATACAACAGCCTTAAATGTCTAAATAGTTGCGAGATGTGTTTCATTTTAAAAAATGACCATTTTTTCTCTATTCATTTGCTATCATATTCAGGTAGAACATCATAGAAATTAATAATAATAATCCCCTAATAAGTAAATTTATTATTTTGGTTTTTAGTGAGTACTTTTCTCATGCCTTTATTAAGTTAAGCAAATGATTTTTTTATAGATTTAAATGGATTTTATATTGTTTCTAATCTATTATTGAAATCCTATTTTTATCTTAAAATAATTTATGCAATAAAGTTCCTATAGATTAAATAATATGTGGGGGATTAATAAATAATCAATATTAATACTTAATATAACTTAAGAAACAATTGGAACGAAAAGTAAAATATAATAATTGCATTTTTTAAACTATTCAGCATTCTTGATCCAAAAGAACAAATTCTAATAGACTCTTTTTAACTTGTAGTTTCAAATAGATTATCTATCATTTAGGCACAGAGTCAAAAAATCTTTCTTTTTCAAAGCAGCCAAATATATATATCTTCGGCAAGGAGCCCAAATAACTTCTGATTAATTTAAAGTACTAGAGCAGATCAAATATATTTAAAGCTTTGCAAATATAGAGCAAAAATCAATCAGTTAATTAATAAATGGTGGCTTTGAATTAATATACATTAGGAATTTCACTATATGTAATGATTATTTCGAACTATTTTAAGGACAAATACATAATAAATAATTATAATAGTCTTTTTTATATTTGATAAAATCTAGAATTTAAGCAAACCTGCATGATTATGAATTTTGAAGCCAACTTAATCACAAACAATACATATATTTAATTAAATGTTTAAAGCTAAAATGATAGAAAATGAAAAAGAATTTAAATGTTAACACAAACATGGCTAACCAATACTTTTGGTTGTACTTGATCCAAAACTAGACAAGAAACAAAGACTTTTATGCAATAAATGCATGGAAAACTTTGAATCAGATGCAAAAACTATAGGATTTTAAAAATTAATCAACATTATTGAGGATATTATTGATCAAAATATGAACAGCTTAGAAAATATTGTTTAGAAGACAGTTCAATAATTATCAATTTGTATCAAAAGTATATAAGAATTAAAGACATAATTGATGAAATTATTTGATTCTATGATTATCATAGCTCAAGATTGGACTCAAAATCTATTGGCATAAAGTTAATAATTCAACTAATACAGTTTATATGATGAATTAGATTGCTTTATTAAGAATTAGAATATTAATTATATATCTAATATAAAACTTATCAATAATATTAATATATTTTGGAAGACGAAACTATCTAATAACTTAAATTAATATATTCAAGATAAAGATAAACTTAACTTTAAATAGATAAAGGAAAAATTTATTAACATTGGTTGTTCAAGTTTGTCACAAAATAGTGAAATCAAATTAAATTTAATTGATTAATCTGTTAAATAAAATGTGTAATGTAAAGCAATAGTTTTTGATTCTTCTGGGTCTATTATGGTATCAACCGAATACAATGATATTAAAGTATGGAGCTTTCTAAATGGAACAATAAAATTGATTAAAACATTGTAAGGACATAATAGTTCGATTTAATGTTTAGTTTATAGTAAGAAATAGAATTTCCTTATTTCAAGTGCAGGAGACAAGACAATAAGATGCTGGAAACAATTGGATAAAATAGATTGGAGTAGTTCAAAACCTTATTAATAACATACAAATATTGTAGGATGTATTATATTAAATTCAAATGAGGATTTACTATTTTCTGGAAGTTTTGATAAATCAATTAAAGTATGGAAGGTTGATTTTAATAAAAATATATTGACATACATGTATTCATTGGATAAACATGAAAATAAAGTTAATGCATTAAGTTTAAATTAATCAGAAACATAATTAGTATCATGTGCAGATAGTAAGAATTAAATTATAATTTGGGAAAGAAAAGAATAAGATAAGTTTGAATTCAAACATTTTGTTATAATGGATGAAATTTATAAAAAAAAAATAAAGGTATTTTTATTGATTAATTCAATTTTAGTTATCATCTATACATAGTCAATTTAAGAAGAAGGACTTAAGGTTAAATTTATTAAAGATAATTAATTTATTTGGATAACTGGTGGTAAAGAAATAGATAAACTCTATGTATTTGAATTAAAAGAAGGAGTCTTTTAAGAAAATTAGGAGAAGACAATTCAATTAATTATAAATAATTAGAAAGTTGATGAATATCGTTTTCCAATAATTTACAATAAGGAGAGGAATTTAATTGTAGTAAGACATAAAACCTATATTTATATCATTAGAGAAATAAATAATGGTAAGTTCAAAATAGTTGAGTAATTGAATTGCGAAACAAAAGCTATTTAAGGAACTATTACAAAAAATGGATAATATTTGGTCTTTTGGGATGAAAAAACTCAAGGATATTCAATATATGAATTATTAAATAAATGAATAATTATGATATAATATATAAATAATTTCTTTTCCTATTTTATAAGGAATCCATAAAAAAATTAGTAGTCATACATAAATTGGAATGGAAATTTTAATTCTAGATAACTAATTTTTTTGGTCTTCATTTTTAGCTTCTTTAGAAAAATGAGTAGATCAGAAATCAAATTTAAAGTATGAAATTATTTTAAATCTCAAATAATGAATGATAAAAAATTCAATACCTTAATGATATACTACGATTGAATAAAATTGTAAGCTTTATTTTTATCAAAAATAATTAAAAGAAATTTAAGCGATTAAGAAATTTTCATAATAATAATGTTGTTTAAGATGACATCAAAGAATTGATTTTTTGTAAAAGTGTAGTATAGATTTTTGAAGATAGCTTAAAAAATTAATAATTCAAAATAGTGGAGGAGAATTCTGAAATTCATATATATATTAGAAATAGTTAGAGCAGTAGAAGCTACTTCATGCTTACTTAAATGAATTTTAATTTTAATTATTATAATATTGACAAACTATTCATTATACAATTCATATAAATGTAATGAGATTTGACTATTATGCAAGATAATTAAACTAAAAATAAGAATAAACTATATAGCTATTTATTGACTCACTTTAATCTAATTTTGCTTTAGATAAATATTTAAGAATAATTTCATCTTCAAGAAACATTTAATTTACTTAAATGAATGATTCAGTTCCAATACTTAAATAATACATCAAATTAAATTCAATATATCAGTAAGAAGAAAATAAATCTAGTTTGAAATAAATTTGATATAGATAAACAATATTGTCAAATTTTTAAATCTATACTCATACTTTTAATAAATAAATAATATTAATATATTACAAAGTATCAAACATATATAAAAATAATTATAAGAATTGATTTAAGAAAAGATAAATATTAAATGATAAATGATATGATTTGAAATTAATAGATTTTTAAGATGATAAATGATTATTTTTTCTATTTAATATTGATTAATGGCATAAAATTGATTATGTATTAATAACAAAAATAGATGCAAACAAATTGATTTAAATATTGTAGAATTTATGTAAATTATAATCAAGTAATACAAATTATAATTGGGGGAGATTTTTCAAAGTTATTCTAAAATAAATTCTTAAGATTTATTTGAAGATTGCAAAATACATTACATAAATAAAAAAAACATTTAGAGTCTACATTTTAATACATCAAAAATGTCATACATTAACTGCTATATTACTTTATTAACTTGTTTCAAGTACTAATTATAAAGATGAGCTTAAATTTAATTTATAGTCAAAATTAGTTTAACAAAAATTATCAATTAAACGTTTTAAAAAAACATGAGACCTAATAAAATGCAAAATATCCCTTATTTAAGCCATTAAGTAGTGTATATCTAAATCATGTAGATTACAATTTTAACTTTTCTCATAAGGCAAAAGATATTTTGCTATTTATATATTCAATTTTGATGATAGAACCATCATATTCTTACTATTAAATTTATATCATGTGAATGGGAAATAGAAATGCCCTACAATTACCTTTCATTCCAAGAATTTATCTTTTATTTGCTTCGTGTTGACTTAAAAAAATCTTTAATTATCTATGAATATTCAATTTTATTTTACTTTTGTACTTCTAAGACTTAATGAAGAATTTCTTTCTTCATATAAATTTGAATAGAATTTCACTCTAAAATATCACTAATTGAATACTGAACAAGTAACAAATAACACATTTTTGAGAGTGAATTAAGCCAGAAAAGATGTATACAGCAAACAAAATTAGGCTTAGAGTAAAATGAGGAAAATTAAGATAGAAATTACTTGAAATTGAAAACTAAGAAATCTAATAGAATCAAATATTAGAGTGTGTTTGCTAAACGAAGATAATAATTTACACAGGCCCATTTATTTTTGATAGTTGCAAAAACAAAATTTATAAATTCTGAGAACTTACTTTCAACTGACAAAGCTTCTAAGATATCATAAATTACTATAGGATTAAAAGAGATAGAATCACATACTAATCTGATTATAAAAATTAAATTAAATGGATTTAAAACCATATCATTGTATAAATTCTCTAATATTTAATCTCATAATGAATCGTAGCAACCTTTTTTATAAAGGAGTTAGAATAAGTTTCTAAATAAAATATATGATGGACCTTTATCAGCTGTATTCTTTTGAAAATTGAATCTTAAATACTTTTGATAATAGCAAATAATCAGCTTTTTCAAAATGAGCAAGATAAATTTAGTCATTCCTTATAAATTTTGAGAGAGGTTAAAGAAAGATATAATATAAATAGAAAGTCTAAGGTTAAAAATTATATTACTAAATGTATATTCATAATTACTTACTTAAACAAAAACAAGCATTTTTTTTTTCAGATTATTTTTTGAAGCTTTAAATAGTGCCTATATCTTGGATCCTCATTAATTTCAAACAAAAGGCTTAGGTTAAATCAGTACTCCAAAATCAGATCAAATTTTGTCTGCGTCATCTAAGTATGAAAGAAGCATATGTAAGATATTACGGCTTCTTCATCCAGGCTTCCTTCCCTTATTGAACTTGGTTACAACCATTGCAGGTCCCTAATTTTACCCTTTGAGATTGAAGTATGAAGCACGTATAATGTATTTTACTCTTTGAATTAATTTTCTTAAAGTAAAATAAATTTTTTAATTTATTTGCTGATAAATATATATATAATATAGGCTCTAGATTATCAAATAATCAAGCAATAGTGTATTATAATGTTTTAGTTCTAATTAAGAAAAATTATATTTTCTGATAATTCGAAGTATCACAATTATTACATGTTCATCCTTTAAAAAAAATTTAATTACTTTTGCTATTTAATAAATAGCTTTACAGTGGATTGGAAACCTTGCTTACTGCGGTAAGTTTTAAAAATTATTATCTATCTGTGTTCAGATTATCAATTATCATTTGTTATTTATTAAATATTGCTCTAAGTAAATATTTTAGGATCGAGAAAAGAAAAGAAAAGTCAAGATTGAATAAATTCTCAAAAAAGTAGTCATGATTTAGTTAAGAAACAAATTTGCAAAGTCTCTTCATCAAAAATACGCAGAACAGTTACCTAATTAGAAATGGCTAATCAATTTTCTCAATACTTTGGATGAGGATTCTACTATTTCAAACCGTATAATGAGTGAAAAGAGTGCATTTTGTAAATTAAATATTATTAATTTTGAACTGTCCTTTCTTTAGCTCACATAAATTTAAACTTTTAATTGAAAAAGTATAAAAAAAGGATCTGTAAAATACAACAACTACAATAGATTAATGTGAAGATGATTTCATGGTTTAAAATAATGAATTTAAACAAATTTTGATCTAATTTTGAAAAGCCTATGATCTCAATAAACATTGACTCATATGTTTAATATGAATAATGAAAAATAATTAAAGTGACGACTAAGCAAAATAACAAATTGAATAGGCTTAGAAATCTCAAAGAGAATCGCAGTGAATTGAATGCATATGAGGCTGTAATTTTAAAGGAGCTTTAGGCAGTATCTCAGATACTTTGATTGATGCTAAACTAAAGCCCTTTAGTTTCAGAATAAAAATTCTCTACATACTTTGATATGCTTTTAAATCCTATTTGAGAAAAAAAAATAAAATATTAAAAACATAGCTTATTGTTCTTTTGATAAAATGGGCATCCTTGGGTAAATAATAAAAATACTATATTTTTTTTTTGATAATTCCTTCAAATCTTTATAAAAAAAATTAACTCTAATTAAGTATAAATCTCGATAACTTTTTATTTAAAGTCATATTTACTTAAGAGTACTCTATCATCATTTATTAACAATAAATCCAAAAATGCATTAAATTGTATAACATAAATGTGAATTTTCATTATTTTTTAATCAGTGATTGAGCAATTTTCGTTTCTGAAGATTGTAGATCATATTTCCATATTTTGTATTAATTATTCATTTAATTCCAAAAAATTAGATATAACCCATCATTACTGACAAATCCATAACTATATTTGGGAAATGAAAAGTCAAGAAAATTTTATCTATTAAAATTGTAAAGTTCAATTTCATCTTTTTCATTTTATTATAAAATCTAAATATTATGAGTATGAATATGCATTAATATCTTTCTTTATTCAATAAAAAGTATGGTCGAAATATTAATGAAATTATCTTTATTATCTTAATCAATAACTTTGAATAGATTAAATTGATGATCCTCAATTTAATATTTAAAGATTAAAATCTTTGATCTAATTAAGCATACAAAAGTTCTTTAATCAAAAAATTACAAGCCAAAGCATTTGGATTTTAACTTAATATTTTGGATTATATTCCATTTTTTATCTTAGTTTATACTTTAATTGATTACTAGTATACATGATTAATCATCAATTTGCTGCTAAAAACATATTAAAAATTATTCTGTTTCATTTAAACTTAAGTAATAAATAAAATTCAATTGTATATCTTTATTTAGTACGAACCCTGATTCTGATTTTTCATATATTTTTATTCCACTATTTTAGACAAATATAATAATGTTATCATTTTAATTTATTAATACATCATTACAACTAAAACTAAATTATCCTAGATGCTATTTCATTAAAATTTTGCAATTATTTATACCACATATAGACTAGAATGTTATTGAATTTTGAATGAAGCATACTTAATTAGATTTTTTCATGAATTACAATTATTTTGGAATTGTAACTTACCCAAACTACAATATACTTTTTATTCTTATTATAAACTTAATATTAATATCCTTTATTTAGTATATTCTAACTTTACTGAAATATTATATGATCATAATGGAAGAATCTTTATTTATCGAAATTAATTAAATATTTTCTCTTTCTTTTGTAATTTCAACATTCAATTAGAGAAATTTATTTGGATCAAATTTCTATCTATGTTAAGATATATCCTAAAAATTATTCATACTGATAAAATAATTTTAACAATTATGATAAAAAGAATTATATAAATCTGTTAAATGATTAAAATAATAAATTTTTATTGAGAATATCTTGTAAGATTAATGAAGATTTTCTTAATTGAATAAAATCTAGCTCATTCTCAAATACTTAATTATCATCTTTAAATGTTGAATTATCTTTTTCATTAGTTGTCTTAATTTACAAAAAGGTAGACTTATAATTTTCCAAAATCCTAAGAACTCTTAGTAATAAATAAAGTCCAACTATATGTATCTATGAATTTGAAAAAATAATTTATAATTTTTATTATAATAGGCATATTAATTTAGTTTTAGATGATGATCAATAACAATTAATCCATAAATACTTAATAAAACTTAAGTTGTTGGAAAAAATTTTGTTAAAAAATTTATAATATACTTAGAAAGAGAACTTCAAATCAAAATATTGATGAAATATAAAAATAATCTTAAAACTCTAGTTAAATCCAATAAAATGGCTTTCTAACTTAGAATAAATAAAATTAACCTTAAATATTCTAAATAGAAGTAAAAAAAACTCCTAATAATGTATAACATATAATAGAATAAAATTTTATTCAGAATGAGCAAGAAATAGGGTGCTCGGATATGATTTCTTGCCCTTTTTGTGATGAAATTATGGCCAATGAAGTTTATTGGATCCACATAAAGTTTTGTGAATAATAAATAGGGTAATATAATTTGATTCAGCAACCATGCCATTAATGCGGTTAAATGATTGTTAAGCTTTACTTTAATGATCATTTAGAAATTTGTGAAGGTAATTTTTGGACTTAAGTAAAATGTCCTCATTGTTCTGAAGCATGCTTTAAATCTGAACTAAAAGATCATTTAAACAAATGTCCTACTTTATTAGAATAATAAAATAGAGAAAAACATGGAATTACTTAATGCACAATTTGTTTTGAAGATGTTTTTGAAAACAAAAAATAATTAATTTGTTCTCATTCATTTCATTAAGAGTGCATAGATAATTGGTTTAAATAACAAAAAAAATGTCCAATATGTAAAACACTATAGATTATATGATTTATAAACATTAATAAAATTATACTATATTTAGAATAATTTAAAATTGAGGCATGTAAAGTAGGTATAACTAAATATTGTGATCGTACATTAGGATGTTCAATCTAATACATATTTGTTAATATTTCTGAAAAATCCTAAGTATTTAATATATATATATGCTTTTCAAGTTGTTAAACAGCCTTTACCTTTTCAAAATTAGTCCTTCTTTGTGAATAGATGAATTAGTTACTCTTTTTGAAGGTGATCTGAAAATTAGCCTTAAATTTTTTTTCCTTGATTTAATCCATTTGCCAATTTCAAATTCTTAAGATAATTGTTTCTATGTAGTTGACTTGTCTAAAGACAAAACATTTTAATCATAAGAGTGAATTAAAAATCTTAAATTTATTTCTGTACAAATAATTATATAATAGCATTGATATTATCGTAAAATATAAATTTAGATTCATTTGTTAAGGTTAATAAATTAGGTTTCTAAATTAAGCTGATAAAATATTACTCATAAATCATAATTTATTTAGTCGAAATTATTCTGGCAACTATCATAGATTTATTTTATTAAAATAGTCTTTAATTATATTATTGATACAACTACTTAATATTTTAATACTAAAAATGATTTAGACAAAGAAATCCAATTAACAAAAGTATTAATAAGCTATATATATAAAATGTTATTAAAAATCAATGTGCGTTTGTCAATATTTGTGACAATCTATTAGAACAGATATAAAATTTAAATAAAAATTTTTTAAAAAGATACTATCTAAAAAACATGAAAAACAAGCCTAGAAAATAAAAAGTGGAAATCTTAAATTGAAGTTTAGAAATTTAAAGGGATATCGAAATTAAGAATTTAAGTAATTGTCAAGAGTGTCTAAAATAAGATGATAATTATATATAAGAAAAGGTAAGACAGAATTTCAATTAAGATAAAAAAAATTAAAGAAAAAGAATTTCTTGCTGCTTAGAAGATTTTAATTTAGTTTCTATGTGATCCCACGAAACTCAACCTAAGTCCCAAAATAACTATTATTCAAAATGCGTTAAAGATCTTTAGAATAGGGATTAAATAATTGTACTGTAACAAATCAAAATGGCTGGTCTTGTATAACTTTAATACCATTTGTTTCCAATTAGATGAAAGATCAGTCAATTTTTATCTGTTTCTATATCCATCAAGTAATTCTAAGATACACTCTATAAAAAAATTTGTCACCGTTGTTCCAAAATTAGATGATAAAAATAAAAAGAAGTTTTAGAAATAAAATGATTTCATATGATAATTGGACATCTTCTAAAGTCAGGTTTAAAATAGGTTATTGTTTTTTAAAGTTTTTGAATTGTATTATAAATTATAATAATTATTATAGATTCAAAAGATTTTAAATATCTGAAAATTTTATTGTGAATATAATTTTCTATTCATCCAGAATAATTAAGAACTTCAAATTTTTTTTTGAAGGTATTTCTCGAAAATATCATTATTTATTAACTTGCTTTTTATTTGCCTAAAAAAATCTCATTTTTCAGTCCCATACTTTACATCTTTAACTAATCTGAAAAAGTTGAGGGCAATCACTTAATAATAATTAGTACCCATATTCTTTAGATAAAATACTTATACTCAAATAATTTAAATTTCAGACTAAAACTATTAAATAGAATTAAAAATTTAAGAAAACAAATACTCTTACAAATAATTAGATTATTCAAATATGATAAGTATGTTTAGAAATTTATTATACTATATATATCCTGGCCAGTCTCTTACTAAATTTGATAATCAAGTAGTATTCCACTTTTCAATCAATTGAAAAAATAATTTTCAATGAGATGTACTGAGATTCTATTTTCAAGAATAACTTTTCTTTCATAAAAAAGAATAATCCTAATTGTAATACACATCAGCTTTTAGAAGATATTTTACATTGATTTTAAGGCTGATAAAATGCCTAATATATATAATTTTCACTTTATTTAATATCCATTACTGATCAATTTGATTTATTAATTTGTTTTAATGTTTATACTATGTTCTCACTTTTATAAAGTACTAACCTGATTTTAAACTTAAATAGGTTTCATTAAATCCTAATAACCTTTGATAATTGACATTTTTTTAAAATAGCTGCTGTATTAATTAGATAGGCAAGGTATTTGTAAATATTAAAGTAGAGTAGAATAATAAATTTATTTTAATAAACATAACCAAGCTAATGAAATAATATCAATATATTCATTATTTTATGAACTAAATAACTGCAAATTTATATTTTTAATTAGAATAACTACTCACTCTAAAGGTCATATTTATTAATAAGTTTTGTTGAAATTTATATTTTATCATTACATAAGATTAACTTATTTTAGATTAAAAAGCACGAGTTTCTTATTTAACTTAATGAATATAAAATTTCTATTTGTTTTACATGTAAAATAAATACTTTAGAAGTTTTTTCTACCATATATTTTAAAAACCAAAAAAAATTAATATAATATTTTATTCTTACTAAATAGTAAAATAAAATTGAAAATATATATTCTAGAGAATGATTTTAATTTTATAAAACTATTAAGCGAATTCCTAAAATTTATTACTTATAATATTCCTCTCCATATTATCCTAAAAGAAATATTTTTTAGATTTAATGACTTTTTATAATTTTTTATGCTTCATTAAACCTCCCTAAAATACAATAATTATAAATTATTTTATTTCTAACAGAAATACTCCTTTCATGCTCTTCTAAGGTAGATGAGAAATAAAGATTTATTTAACAATACTATTTTCAAACTTTACGTTAATAAATCAATATAATTCATAAATCCACAAATTTTAAGAAGAACATTTATAATTTTTTAGGTTTTTAGTATTCAATCCACAATTATAGATAATTAAATTTAAAACTGTATTCAAGTATAGCCTAAGGCTAAAGTATCATATATATAATAGGAATTTTAATCAATAGAATAATATGAAATTAAATCTATAAAAATTTGGTTTTTATTATTAAAAAAGATTTCTAAAATTCATTAATGCTGCTTCATTATGCCATTCATATAGTTGAAAAGAATTAATCAATCAATGATTCTAGTACTATGACTAATCTTGACTTTCGACTCATAAAGCCAAACACTGGTGAAAAATATTACTATCCTGTATGTAATTTTATTAAAATAGGTTTTTGGAAAAAATTGCAATCATTTTGTAGAAAAATTCATCGATCTCTAAGATGTTGTAAATGGATTCAATTCTCAGAATAATTCTTATAAATGTCCTCATTGTGCAAAAGTTTATGAAGAGGTTTCAGATTTTGTAACACATGATTTCTATATAAGAATTAAGAATGACTTCCATCCTCTTATAGATAAAATTTCTGTTTTACATGGAATTTTATTAAGTCACATTAAAAGAAATAAAAGAAGATTTGGGGACCCTTTAACTTCTAATCAAATTTAACAAAAAATAAAATTTTTATTAACAGAGAATAATGAAGATCAATTTGAAAAAGCTTAATAATTTTCTTATCTAGCCTTCTTTGATTAAAAACTTAAATCAAATAATTAATTTTAATTCTGGTCTATATGTTTACTTGATAATGTAAATATAAAAATTCCAGTAAGACATAAGAATTGCAAACATGTTGAAGCTTATGAATTATGTAACTAGTTTGATTTGTTATCAGATTGAAAACTATAGGGATTTATAAAACAAACAATTACAAGAAAGAGAGTCAAATTAATATTTAAAATGTATTAAAATAGGTTGTTCATCTCTTTTTCCCTTAATTTCTGATTAGAAGCTCTTAGATTGTCTTGTAGTTGATTTCGAACTTTTAAAAACTATAAAAAGGTCTTATCCTGGAAATCAGCTCTTTGTAGTGAGTAAGTTAAATAATGATGAAATTACTTTATCAGATTATATTTCAAAAAGTGTTAGTAATAAAGACCAATTCATTAGTATATATTGTAATAACAACAAATTAGATAAATTATTTTAACTTTCTTTCTCAGAATTTTAAAGAATAGTATTAGAGAAGATGGCAACAGTAATCAACTTAGAATTACATAGGAATGTTTAGGAAAAAATTAATTAATATAAACATTCTAATTGTCAAAAGAAACTAAAGTACTAATCTGGTTAGATGGTTGAACTTCTAGCTCGTTGTGTTAACTGTCCAATCCCAAAAGAAAATGAGTCTTAAAATAGCGAAACAAAAATTTCATTATTAAATTGGGACATTCGAACTTTTGTAGCATTCATTGTTCATAAGTAAAATAAGAAGAAAATAAGAAAGAAACTTCTGAAAAATTACAATGCCCTTTATGTTAAACTGAATTTAGAAGGAATTTGGTTCAAATTTAATTTAACAATGAATTAATTTTTTATGATACTTAGTTATATTCGAAAATGCAGATTAACATAGAAAAAATTAGAAATTAGCCTGTTCTCATATAAAGGAAAAGAATACTTACTCGAAAATTTCAAGAATTTATGGAAATATACCCGTGAAGATTTTTAAGGTAATAATTAATATTGATATAGTGATAAAAGAAATAGTGAAATTTAAAAGATATATTATGAATCAATTCATTATCCAAATTTTGAAAATATACTGATTAACCATCCATTAATAAATTTTAAATGCAAAAAATAAATTAAGTTGAATTTTGATTATTTTTACAAAAAATTTGAACAAAATTAATTTTAATTTAAGAATTGAATAAAATTATGCAAATGCCAAGAAACAGAATGTGAATTGGTGACTGAAATCGAAGAATAATTATATTATGATCATATTTGGGTAGAAGCTTCTGCATAAAAACCAGATCATTGTAACTTTGAATACAGATTTTCATATGATTTTTTGAATAAAGAATTCTAAGAATTAAAAAAAGGAAAGTTTTTATTTTAGAAACTGATTCCTCCAGTTGTGAGACACTTCCAGGAAGATGAAACAATATGATGGAATAATAATGAACATTAAAAATAA